CAATTAAATAAGAGATTATTAATTTCTTTTAGAATTAAATAATTCAAATGCCACGTAAGCAAAATTGGCGAATGAGATTTTTTAAGTTTAAATTAATTAAATATTAAATATTATCTTTTAATATTAGGAATTTTATCTAAATATATAACAAATTTTAGCTCATAAATACAAAAAACAAAAAAAAAAAAAACAAAAAAAAACAAAAAAAAAAAACAAAACAAAACAAACAAACCGTGCATCGCACGGGCTTCATCTAGTATTGTTTCAATTGTAGGGAATTTGGATTAAAAAGAAAAATTGATATTAATGCTACTTGAAAAAAGCAAATGGGACTATCAATTTGAGACTAAAAATAGGTCATAAGAGACTATCATTTGGAGACGGAGGGAGTGGATTATTACCACGTAATCATGTTGCAATATACGAGTACCTCGTAATATAAATCGAATCTTTAATATGTATTGAGTTATTATGCCTAGGTTTAATTCCATAACTTAAGATAGTCGGTCAACATTATTGATATTTATATATGGAATTTATGATGAGTTCATAATTATTATTAATGACCAATTTGAAATTTATATATAGGTGCATTGAAGCACTATTTATATCGTCCAAGAGCAGCCCATTTAATTCCATTTTTAGATAGACAGAAATCCATATCAGGACATTGGCTTGAAGTTTCACCTTAGAAATTCAATTTGCGAGGCAAGACATACTTCAAGTGTGTAACCTTTCTATCCCATATTAGTTACTTCGTATTACAGATTTACGTTGTCATTTGTTACAAATTATCCCATAGTAGTTTTTAAAACACTTACATATTTTAAAAATAGGTCTCATAATTGTTTAATACATATCTCTTCGACAACTAAAAAGTCAGGGTATTACAATGACACAAGTCACACAATCAATATGAAATTATCTATGTTCATTTTTTGAAAACTTATTTAGTTGGATTTTTTTTTATTTAGTTGGAATTTATCTGAGCTTATAGCTAAAATTATCTAACCTTATAAGTATGTTTGATAATAATTTATGTAAACTTATACTATCATAACTAAACTTATTTGAATATGTTAGCCAAAGCATGTCATACAGAATAGGTAGACTTAAGATAGTCGGTCAAAATTTACAATTCTTATTAATTCACCCCTGCTCCTTCACTCTCCACGACCACAACCACAACCACAAATCCACAATTATCCCATCGTCTCTCCTCTCTGCGCACCAAACCGGAAAAATTGGGGAATGGAAAGGGGGCGAAAACGGCAGGCGAACGCTTTTTGAGGGCGGCTGCGGGTCATGGTGAAGCTATGATTTGCTAATTGCGGCTACTGCGCGCGATTTGTAGTGATTTTGGTGACGGTGGCTGGGACCAGAGGTGGTGCGGTGGCCGTCAGAATGTGTTGGCTGCGGGGGCAGGGGTTGTGGGCTGGTGTGCGTGGTGTTTGAGTGAGGGAGATGCGAATTTGGATTTTCAAGGCGGGGGAGTGGTGGGCGTCATTTTCCGACACCGGGGGAGGGGTTTTCGGGAGCGAGGGAGGGGTTTTCGGGGGTGGGGGAAGGGGAGGGGTGGTTTTCGAGGGAGGGGGAAGGCTGGGCGGCGGTTTGCAGCAGCAGGGGAGGGGTTTTCGGGGATGGGGCTGATTTTCGGCGGGGTGGGGTGGGATGTGGTGGCAGCTACTGGGCATGGGTGGTTTGTGGGGTTTTTTTTTGGAAAAATACACTTTAATAATCCCAACTTTGGTCCATTTATTTTGAATAATCTCAACTTTTGATTATTCTGCACTAATCCCAAGTTTCACTTGTGTTTTTTTTTCTTCAATCCAAAAAATCAGCAACCTGCTGAAAAGGTTAGTTGTTTTTTTTTATTTTTTTAATATGCCACGTGTCAAGCATTAAGTGGTCTAAAAATGAAAATAAACTAAAAATAAATAAACCAAAAAAAAACCAACAAGCCCCCTCCCTGAATCCCTTTAAATTACCAGCCCCCAATGTGAACCTCGTGAACCTCCCTCCTTCCCTGCTAAGGATTCCGGCACCTCCACCAAATGAGCCGCCGCCTTGAACCAACCACCCCCGGCGACCCGCCTCCACCACCGGCCAACCCCCGCTGCAACCTTCCCCTCCCTTAACCCGAACCCCGACCCGCTGCAACCCTAACCTTCTTATTATATCCGCTGCAACACTCAGAAAATTCATCAAAAATCGCTTAATCCTCAGATGAAGAGAAAGCCGAGAAACGATAATCGATGATAACCTTCAACGACGATGTGATGTTTGGTTTGGAGTGGTTTTTGATTGGTTTAGGGTGACGTGGGTTTCGATTTTAGGTTGAAATCGAGTGGGTTTAGGGTGGGGGTTCAACTTTGGAGTGGTTTCGAGGGCGGGGCTGGTTAAGGGGGTACTCCGGTCAAATGGTTGTGAGAGGAGGGTGGTTTCAGCGGTGGGGTAAGAGGAGGACTGGTGGTCGGAAAGGCTAAGGTAGGGTAATGGGGTGGCTGTTTTGGCTGAGTTTAATTTTTCTTTTCTTTTTTTTAAAAAAAATATATTTTTTGAACCACTGACACGTGTCAAGTAACCTACAATAGTAGGTTGTTGACTTTTGTTGCCGGTTTAGGAGTGTTGGAAGAAAACAGAGTTGAAAGTTGGGATTATTGCATAATAATCAAAAGTTGGGATTATTCAAAGTAAATTGACCAAAGTTAGGATTATTAAAGTGTATTTTTCCTTTTTTTAAAAAAAAAATTAAACCAATCATACGCTGATACGTGTCTAGGTAACCTATTACATCAGGTTGGATGACATGTTGGGTGCAATAGAAATTAATACCCCCTAAAGTTGGGAGTGATAGATAATAATCGAAAGTAGGGATTATTTTTGGCGGACGAGGCAAAATTCAGATTAATAGGAGCAATTTTTCCTATTTTTTACTTAATGCTCATTATTTTTTACATGTCCATATTTATTTACTAAATGTTCATTTTATAGTGCTGGTACAGCTATCTTAGTTACATAAGAGTGCAGCTAAGACTTCTTGTTGTTCATAATATTAAGCCATCACAATTCAACCCAACCTAGGCTCTAATATTATGTTAAATGGGCCTGAGCTGTACCAGCCCATTTGATAAGACAAAGGAATTCCATCTCAAATCAATATGACAATAATGGGAACATATATATCATGTTTCAACATTCTTTACTTCTTATACTCTTTAATGTGCGGCAATACTACAATGATTTTTAACGAAGAGTTCAAGTGTTAAATGTAAGACTTAGTCATGTTACCAAGGTTATTCCTTTAATCACATTGGCAAGGCCAAAAAATCCATTAACTAAATGATTTTTAACGAAGAGTTCAAGTGTTAAATGTGGGATTTAATATTTTTCTTTTTTCTTTTTTTTTTTGAGGGGATATGGGATTTAATATGAGTATATGACTATCATTTAAAATCTGTAAAAATAAACGAAATCCTTAACAAACATGTTGATGAAATTAAATAAATAGTGGTACGTTCATCGCCTAACAATAATCTTTTTCAATATTGATGTACAACTATACAAGTACTCACAAGTACTTCCATTTTTCAATATTTTCAAAAAACTTTTTTTTTTATTACTAACAAATCACATAATTGGTCCTGTAACAGAAATCATTTTTCAAATAAAAGACAAATTTAAAAAAAGGAAAATTTGATAATTACCACCAACTATTGTTGCCAAAATTGAAAATATCACCTCAATTTTTTTTTTAATTTTACCACCTAGTTTTTTCCAAAAGTTTTCAAATTCCCACCTTATTGCTGCATGACGTCATCATAGGACCCACACTTTTGTTTTCCCTCTTTCTTCCCTCGGTTTCCCCTGTTCATCTACTCCCTTCTTTCAATTTCATCTCTCAAATTTGATTTCAAATACAAAAATTTTGCAAATTAGGTTATAATTTCTACAATCTAACCTACAACGAACTGAATAGAGTAGTTTAATTAGGGTTTGGGTAATTAATTTGGGGGCTTTGCTAAATTCGAAAAATTAGGGTTTAGGAATTCATTAATTGGATGAATAACTTGACAATTAAACATGTAATTAGGGTAAAAACATAATTTAAATGGGCAATTAAACATGTAATTCATAAAATGTTAGTGTTTTCGCCCCAACTACATGTAAAATTAGGGTTTATGAATTCATTAATTACCACTACAATGTTAGTGTTTTCGCCCCAATTACAAGTTTAAATTATGTTTTCCCCCAATTACATGTTTAATTGTCCAATTAATCAATTCATAAACCCTAATTTTTTTAATTGAGCTAAAAACCCCAAATTGATTACCCAAACCCTAATTAAACTACTTAATTCAGTTCGTTGTAGGTTAGATTGTAGCAATTATAACCTAATTTGCGAAATTTTTGTATTTGAAATCAAATTTAAAGATGAAATTGGAAGGAAATCGTGGGAAGAAAGAGGGAAATCGGCATGATGACGTCATGTCGCACAAAAGGTGGGAATTTGAAAACTTTTGGAAAAAACTAGGTGGTAAAATTTAAAAAAAAAAAATTTGAGGTGGTATTTTCAATTTTGACAACAATAGTTGGTGGTAATTATCAAATTTTCCTTAAAAAAATTATATTTGCATACACTAAAAAATACAATAATATCCAAGAAAAAAAAAAAAAAAAAAAAAAAGCACATTTTCTTGATCTTGATAACCGATTAACCAACTTAACTAACTTTAAGTAGATAAAATGTAGATTAACCGGCTTAAATATATTTTGGCCTGGCTTTCAAGTAACAACCAAACACAACCATTATAAATAACCACCTACACTATCATTTCATTGTTATAATTCATTTCATCATCAACCCATTTCAAAAAATATTCTGTTTTTTCTACAAACCCAACAAAAATTCCATCTTAAAACACTGTTATTACAAAAATTCACTTGATTCTATTACAAATCTTTCATTAGTTCTGTTTTGCTGCTGTTATTAACTAGTAATGGCGGCTTCGAGTTCACGAGAAGGAGACGATTACACGATTATGGAGAAAGATCCTACAGGGCAATACTCAAGGTACAACATTTTCATTGATAAAGGCCAACATAATAAAGTAGTTTTCTTAGGATATGATGAAATTAATGGCATAGAAATTGCTTGGAAAAAGAAATTTATTAGTGATGATTGTATTCTTGGTTTGCTTCAAGAAGCTTCGTTGTTGAAGGATGTAGACCATGAAAATGTACTCAAATGCTACAATTCTTGGGTTTGTCCACAAAATAAAGAGATATTCAACATAATTACTGAACTTTATTCTTGTAATTTGAGGGATTATACCAAGAAACATGATATTATAGAAGGTGATCCATTGATCAAGAATTGGTGTAAACAGATTCTAACAGGGCTTGATTTGCTTCACAATCAATGCTATCAGATTGTTATTCACAGTAGTCTGAATTTGGAAGACATATGTGTTGTTGGGGACTCAGGAACTGTTAAGATAGGGGATGTGAATTTCGCGGCGTTTCTTTTACCGGGGACTAATGATACTGATGGAGCTGCTGAACTTGCACTGTCGTCTGAGGTGCACTGTTTTGGGGTGTGTGTGCTGCAGATGCTGTATGATGAAACTGTTGAGAGGCCGTTACGAGAGTTGAACAGTGTAACAGACGGAGAGCTTCAGAGGTTCATTCAGAGGTGTTTGGCCGATGTAGGAATTAGGCCTACAGTTACTGATCTTCTGAATGATCCGTTTCTTGAACTGAGTACTGCAGGTTCTGCAGCAGCATCAGTACCATCTGTGAGTGTACCGCCTGCTGACACGAGTGATCAGGGGTTTAGAGAACAAGAACGACCGCCTTTTATTGCAGAGCTCAACGAAGAGTATACGAAATTTGCATTAGTAGGAGAAAAGTTGGACAGTGAACTGATGTCTGTGACAGTTAGGACTACTGAAGTTAAGATTGATGATTTTGTGTTCTGTCTCGAAATTGATACACTTCAGGAAATGATGAATGAAATCAGAGAAGAATCTGGCCTGTCAGACGAAGAAGCTGCATTAATTGGTGTGAGACTGGCAATACTGGAATTATATCACCCACCTATTGTGGATGAAGAAGTTGATTTCGACTATAGCACAGGTAGTGAAAATCCTGAGGGTGATGATATTGACGATAACACAGGTATTGAAAATCCTGAAGGTGATATTGCTGATAACACAGGTATTGAAAATCCTGAGGGTGAAATCGCCGATAACACAGCAAATGCTGGGGGTGAAATCAACGATAACACAGCAAATGCTGGGGGTGAAATCAACGATAACACAGCAAATGCTGATGGTGAAATCGAGGATAACACAGCAAATGCTGATGGTGAAATCGAGGATAACACAGGTATTGTAAACCCTGAGGGTGATATCGCTGATGACACAAGTATTGCAGATGCTGAGGGTGATATCAACGACAGAAACTCGTCTGCATCAACTGAAAATGCTCGACAGGTAGCTGATGAAATGGGTCTGGGAAATCAGGAAAGTCTATTAAGGTGAAACGGCTGATCAGAGTAATTACAATGAGGGAAAGACACCATATAGTTGCTTTCGAATGCTGTCATTTCTAGGCTTAGTTAACAGTTTGATTGTTTTAGTACAAAATTAGACTTTCATAGTTTCGTTTATGTCATAATAAAAAAACTTTCTTTGTGATGTTTGGTATGTTAGTAATACTTTAGTGTGTCAATAAGTATGTTTTCTCTGTTTTAGGTCCAAATGTTGATTGTCATTTGTAATTGTTTGATTGAGATATATGAACATTGGTGTGTTAGTTATATAATAAGATTGTAATGAAATTTGAGACTGCAATTTGTTTTTCTTTCCTTTAAAGAAATTCTTTTTTTAACAAATCAATCAATACTCTCTTTTCTTACTCAATAGCGTACTATTAAGTGTCTTAATCACGGGTTATAAATAAATTCAAGTTACTAGAGTTTTAAATAAACTGTTCAACTTGAGCCAAATGTATCTATACTTAGTATTTAAAAACAAAAACCATCATCCCTATAATGTCACATGTACATTTCATTATTTTTTTTCTCCAATGTCACGTCACTTCATTTAATCTTTCTTTTTATAATCCCTTTTCTCATATGAAAAAAAAAAACTTTAATTCAATACATGTATAAATTATTGAATGTTGTTTGGTTCACTTTCCCCCAGTTTAATTTCTACTACAATTGCATTCATTTTTTTTACCTCTTCTTCTCCTCTATAAACTATTCATTTGCCAATATAGATATATTAAAAAATAATTATTTATATAGTATACCTATAAATAAACCATTCATTGCACGGGCCAGAAGGCTAGTTAAATTTAATTAGTACCACAATTAGAGTTGATTATTAGTGATATCGTGTCATCTCGGGTAATAGGGTATTATTGAGACTAACTTTGATTTCGTTTATGCAACCTCGACTCCTCTAAAATTCAGTAAGAGAGAAAGATAGAAGAGCAGGGCAGAGCCATTGGAGCTTGAAGCAATTAGGATCAATTATACCTAGTTACATAAAAATATCATTTTTCACTTTACATACGTAAACTAAAATTTGTTAAATACCACCTACTATTGTAACCATTTTTTACAATACCACCAACAATTTATTTTATTTTATTCTACCACCATTTTTTTTCAAATCCTTAAAAATTATCACCATGACGTAATTGTGGACCCATGTAACTACCTTCTTTTTTTCCCTCATTCTTCCTCTCTAATTTCATGATTCTCTTCCATGTTCCCCCCATTACTCCCTTCTCTCCTCTTTTCCCTCATTCTCCCTCTCTAATTTCATCAAAAATGCAAAACCGAGTGTGTAATCTGTTGGAAAAAATACCTGTTGATTCCATTAATGATAATAGATAAATCAAGAACATCCCTTGGAGCAAATTCGACCGCCATACTCAAATCATAAACCTGTTCTCCTTCAGTTGTGCCGTGGTTTGGAACCCACTGACTTAGAAGTGAAATACACCACCATCGGTACAGACCCCCCAAGTTTTACACAACAACCTTTGCAATTCGTGTACCCGAATCAAAGGTTGGAATTGCTCAAGAACTTTTCAGATCTCAAAGAGTAGGTTTATGTTATGTGTTTAGGGTTTCAATGAACGAAAAAACCATCATCACTATTTTTTATTTTTTTTGTAGCAAGTATATATATATATATATATATATATATATATATATATATATATATATATACATACGTTCATATATGCACGTGATTAAAGGTAATTATCAAAGGAAATAAAACAAACAAAACCGCCTCACACCACTCGTCAAAACCCGCGCCCGCAGCCCGAACCCACGCCCGCAGGAAACCCCGCGGGTCTGTCCCGCAGCCTCTTACGGCAGCTCACCGAAACTGCCCGCCCGCAGGAAAACCCGTGGCATGCGCCTGCGACCACGGCTCGTGCTTATGACCAACCAAGATGGAGCTTTACAACTCACTCATAGTCCGGATGCATTACTAGAAATTCCAACAATCCCCCACTAATGCATACGGACCAAATAGCATGAGATCTGAACAGTAAATGAAAGTCTTAGTACTTAAATGTTAGTATCCAAAGATTTGAACTAACACATTAGTGCACAAGGTTTTCAACACTTCCCTAGTGAATATCCTAAGATTTGAATTCCTACGAGCGAGGAAGGGACCTTGTAAACACATACCTTGACTTTAGAGCTTAAGCAATTCCGCAGAATTTGGCTTCTCTTGGGAACTAATGAGTACTTCAGAAGGATCACGCCCAATCCTCCCTAGAAGAGCGCCACTCTTCATACTCACGCAGGTGTCTCTGTGTGATCTTCACCACACACACCTGCAAATCCAAGAACTATTCATGTAAATATGTGCATCTCACAATACTTTGCAAATTCAAGGACTATTCATGCATCGGATTTTAGACATTAAGAACAATTAAGTTCATCCTCTTTCAACATTTCGGTGCACCTATCCTGCTCAGCGGGACATGGATTAGGCGTAGTATTAAGGGCTAAACCTAACCTCATCTCTTAGGTACCTCCCCAATTCCCTTCAAGCAGTCTTAGAGCTGACAGTCCAGGTCACTTAAGACCACCATCACTCCTCACTCTTGATTACCGGGATAGAGGTATTAAGAGTATGCTCAACCTCTACGTCGGCGTCATTATCAGTCCTATTCAAAGAATATCTAGACAGATGACATTAAGAGCCACACTCAGCCTATCTCTGAATCATCTGGTAAAAAACCACTCAAAAGAGTTGCATTCAACATACACCAATAGTGTATAACAACAATGAGTCAACCACACTAGGCTCCAAACTCAATCATAACAAAAGTTCAAGTTAAAATCACATCAGTGCATCCATGTAAGCTGTCTCACCTGACCACCCAACCTGAGCCATTGACACATTAAGAGCACTAAAAACTCAACCTGTTAATATAAAGCAGCATGTTTAGCAAGGTATTTTTCATAACCATAAAAATTAGAGGGTTACCAAACCAGATACCTCAATTGCGTAGACTCATTATCTTACATTTCGTCACTGGAATGAAACACCACATGGGATTTTTAAGCACATTCCCTTAGACGATCAAGCACTTACTTGTGCTCCATCCTTTATAAGGAACGGCTTGACTCTTCTTGCTTTTACATACTCTCACCGGAGTACCATTCCCACAGGCCCTGTCTTACTTTGTCACTACCTTCGTAGTTCCTGACAACACACGCAAAGACACTTGTGAAAATAATGTAATGAACATGAGGATCAACTTACCCCCACAATGGACAAACTTCCAGAGTTCACTTTGCAATAACTCATATTCTTGACACTTATCATCTTTAGATAGCAACGATCTTTGCTTCCTATCGGATAGTGTGTCACACTTGCTTTACAATTAACTCAAACAGAGTACAACCCATCAACCTGAAAAAACATACACTGGCAGAGTAATAATAATGTTTGTTGTTTACTTAACCTTTGTCCTCTACATGCATCACTCCAACTCCAACAACGATTGGACAATGCTATCTAGACAAATTAAGTGAATCAACAAATTCCTTTCTGCAAAGCTACATCATGTCAAGAATAAAATGTTAAATGAATTAACTTGCAAATCATTAGCAAATTGAATCAAACATCAAAGCTAATCCACATCCAACAACTCTGGTTTTTAACATGATCAACATATTCACCATATTAAATTTTCTACATAGCGAGATTGAGTTCAATACATACCTTGGTCGATTCAATGATCTTACCATCTAGAATCACACCACTCATCTCATCATTTTGTACCTTCATCTTGGCAAAGATAACAATTAAGACCTTCAATCTCAATCAAACAATCAATACATGTGTAATCAACAACATATGATTAATCTAGCATCCGACTAACACCAATGTTTATCATAATAAACACACGCACGCATTACATCAATACATTAGCATGCCAAGAATGAAACATTTAACATAGTTTGGGTACTTACACTTGTCCCCCACATGACTTGTCTAGTCCACTCACCATATTAACTGCAAAAGTTAATTTAATATATGAAGGTTATACCTTATGAAGGTTATACATCATACCTTGAGTTGTCTCATATGATTGTATCACTAACAAATCCCATGATCATTAGTCAATCATGCTAGGAAGCTTACACAACCTTACTGCAAAACAGACAAGCTCATAACACTAGTGAGTAAAAAAAAAAATTGGGTCAATACCAAACTTACATATACATAGCTCATAGTTCAACATATATATCACCCACACATTTACATACTGGTCACTCATGCCATATGAAATGTACTTTACAGAATATACTTCAAAGTCAGAAACCCCCATATCAGATCACACACCTTGTGATAATAAAACATGACTCCTGTCAAAATTTCAGGGAAAGAAAACTAACAACTTGGGTGAACAACACTTTAAAAGCATAACAACATCAACTATAAGGCTACCCCCACATAGCAAATATTCACAGAATAAATAATCTACAATTGAGACATAGAAAATTTACTTTCTATTCTTGCCTCATGTGGAGTCCATAACATTTAAACTAGTATAACTTTACTAGTCCTTGTCAAATCATACCTTTCACTTCTGCTCTCATGCATGGAGGAAAGATCGGTCATACCTAGACCTTCAACAAGAAAGGTTAAATGCTAGTCCTCTAGCAATTATGCACAATTCAAGTTTAAAAATAAGCTAAACAAAAACACAAGAATTAATAACAATAATTCTAAATCCCATTTTCAATTTAAAAGGGAACATTACAAGCTTATCACATACTCCATGCTCAACAAAATAATTTTTCCAAAATTAGGTATATAACTCAACATAATGACTATCAAAAGATAGGAAAAATAACATCCCTAATCAACTAGGAAAATAGCAAAGTTCATAATCATACATGATTAAACAAAGCACACATCAAAAGGTAGAAGTAAGGTACGTACAACTCATAAAACCAGTAAAAAGCCATAGATAAAATGATCACTCATGG